CCCCAAAACCCCAAAACCCCAAAACCCCAAAACCCCAAAACCCCTTTTATTCTAGCCCATATTGAAAATTTTACTTAATAATGATTCCAATTGAAGAAGCTCCGACTAGAGAAAGTAAGTGGAAATCTGTATTTCTGCCTTCTCGCAATTCTCACTCGAAAAAATAGTGTTTGTCGATAAAATTATTCCCAAAAAGCTGTGTTTTCAAATTGAGCAAACATTTCTGAGGTTGGCTTGCTGCTGAGACTACCCTCATCATTAATTCCCATAACCCCCACCTAATGATCCTTCATCTAGGACCCTTTTACAAAGTGCTACTGGACCTCAACCAGGTCGAGGAAATACAGGAAGATTTTGGGGAGTAACTTGCTCTAGTTTTATTTTAGAATATTATATGAAACCAGTCAAGACAATTTCCCCGAACAAAAGAATATTATTAATTGATCCACAAAATGAGAAAATTCACATATTTGAGACACTGAGGACAATTTGACACCTGATTTAAGAAGCCACAAGGAAGAAATCCTTCCCTTTGAAGGAGATTATTATGAGACCAGTAATTTCGAAGCCGCCTGACAAGCTGACAGAATTCTCCTCAAATCTTATAAAGATGCTCGAAGAATCCCGCAGCCATTCGATTCTGGGAACCATCAGAAAGACAAATTGATTCAGAAAGTTGCTATAGCTAAAATTGAGGATTTGGGATGCTCAGAAAATTCAAAAACTACCAGACCACAAAATATAAATCATTTTAGTTATAAAGAATCTCAGCCAGTGGAAAAAGAAGGTAGCAAGCTGAAGAAGATGCCATTCAGTTTGAAGACAGTAATTCAGGTTCCACAACAGAATCGCAAGAGGAAATCACCTCTTTCGATGACCAAAAATGCTTCTGGGAATTACACGATGAAGTATGATTCTTTTCTTAAAAGTCTCAGAATGAAGATTCGCAAAGGATGTACCATTAAGAGAAAGATTAAACAGATTCAAAAAGAAATTGATAGAACAGCCCAAGAGAAGGCCTAGATTCCCAAAGCTAATATTATAGCTTGAATAATTAAGATTTAGAAAGAACAGTCTTCCAAAAAGTCACTCGTCTTTAGGGCTCTTTTTATATAAGACCTTCACTCATTCTATTATTAACTTGCAAGTTAGTATTGAAATGTTGGGGTTTTGGGGTTTTGGGGTTTTGGGGTTTTGGGG